ATAAAAAAATGAAGAAAAACCCTCTTTTATAGCCTTGAACCAGATCTGGCTGAACCAGACCAGACCAGGTTGAACCAGACCAAGCCAAATTGAGCCAGAATGAGCCAGAATGAGTCAAATTGAGTCAGATTGAGCCTGGCTGGACCAAACCAGATCAGAATGAGTCAAATTGAGCCAGATTGAACCAGAATGAGCCAGTTTGAGCCAAATTGAACCAGTTTGAACCAAATTCGAACCAGAATTCAATTTGGAGCGGAATTAAACATCAGAACGACTTTTGATCAACCTACGGTTCATTCCTTCACCTATTTAACCCCTCTACCATATATTTGGGAGGGTCGGAGAGATTTTGAACCCAAATACTGCCTTTTTTGGCACATTTTTTGGGGCTGGTTCAGATTATTCGAACCTAAAGAACACTCCGAAAAGTATACGAGTATAAACTGCTTCTTAATACTCCAATAAGGTATATGAGTATAAACTATTCCCTATTTTTTGGTTTGAGAAGTTCCTGGAGAATATTGTTTATAAATATTCTTAAGGATAACTCAACTACACTACGCCGGACAACGCGTTGTGCATAAAGACTCGACGCCACAATCAATGGTCAGCTAAAAGGAATCGACTTCAAGTTCAGAAAATTCCGACAAACGGTCAGACAATAAATGCAGCACCGGAACTCTTACAGACTTTCGACAAAGCACCGAAAAGTCTGGAGAATTGAAGGAGTCAAGAACAGAAGCCATTCCGAGGTCCCGTTACACCGACTAAAGGTGGGGGGGCAATCATATCCAAAGTATTCCAGACTCTTCTATAAAAGAACGAGACTGAAATACTTTGGAGGGGGTATCTGTAGGCATATAAAATTGCTTATAGGTCCCCTAGCATAGCTCGGCACAAACCGACGAACCAACGAGGCGACGAGATCGACGAATCGCACAGAAGCGACGGAATGCATCCACCCGCGTGCAGAATCAAGCTAATGAGTTGAGGAATCAACGAGTCATCCAACCGAGAGCGGACTCGGACGAATCACGATCGAATCAAGATCAATTTCGGACTCGAACTCAGAAGCGGATTTACTGCCAAATCAGGAATCCAACTTACTGCCAAATCAGATCAACCAATCAGAGTCTCAATCAACCGAATCACGGACAGAACCGGAAACAACGGAAAACGACTCGAAAAAGTCGGAAAACACCGCCCGCGGGGGCTCGGCCAAAGCCGAGCCACCTCAAGGTGGATCGGCTTTGGCCGAGCCACCTCAAGGTGGAAACTCTGCCGGATTGAAGAGTGAACTCGGAGCTTGAAGACCAGAAGACTTGCACATTCAGATCTGATCCTCGGCGACCATCCACGTCAGAAAAGGCAGGATCTCGAGAGGAAGAAAGAACAGATCTGAGATCTACACGAGACTACACTCCAGATCTAAGCTTGGTCTTAGATCTCGAGATCTGAGCGATTATTCCCTTGGTGGATTAATCCCTCCCGGCTATTATTCCCTTCGTGGAATAATACCCGCATAATCGTGTAGATCCGACCGGATCTAGATCGCGCGGTGGTCCACGGATTAACCCCGGCGCAGGCAAAGAACCCACCAAAGCGAGCGACCGCAAAACAGGAGCTCGTGATTTGTTCACAGAGGAGAGTTGTAATTTTTCTTTATTTTCTTTGATTTAGTTGTAACCGGATCTATAAAAGACCGGATCTTTTGTAACTCAAAAAGTTGTAACTCAAGATGACAATTATCTCATTAATGAAGAAAGCAACAGTTTTTCCCGCGAACAGGTGAAAGACTAAAACGGTAATACGTATTAGATGTTGACTTATTCCTACTTAGGATTCGGGATAAAATTCCCCAAACGTGTGAAGCACGGATTTTGGGAGTTAAAAAAGCGGTGTCTTCACTTGGGGCAAAGACGAACTAGATGCTGGAAAAGAAGAATTTTATTCTATTTCCAGTTACGAAGGAAACTTAAAGTGGGATCTCCACTTCAATAATCTAAAGAGTGAAACTAAGAGTAGGATTTTCACTCTGAGAATCAAAAAGATTCGGATAATCTTAACTATCGGAAGGTTTGATTGCCGAACTAAAGATGAATTTCTTGTTTATCGAGAGTGAATTGTAGTTTGGTCCTAACTGTAGGAAGGTTTGACTAAGTGGGAGTTTGAGGCGACCCTAACTGTAGGAAGGTTTGATCACTCAATTTGGAAGTGGATCTCTCGTTCATGGAAGGAATCAAGAGGGGATTTTGGCTTTGGCCCTAACTGTAGGAAGGTTTGACCAAATGGGCGTTTGAGGTGACCCTAACTGTAGGAAGGTTTGATTACTCGATTTGAAAGTGGACCTCTCGTTCATGGAGGGAATCGAGAGGGGATTTTGTCTTTGGCCCTAACTTTAGGAAGGTTTGACCAAATGGGGGTTTGAGAAGATCCTAACTATTTAAAGGTTTGATCATTCAATTTGTGGACCTCTCGTTCATGGAAGGAACCGAGAGAGGATTTTGGTTATGGTCCTAACTGTTTAAAGGTTTGACCAAGTGGAAGTGAGATTACAAATCACAGTGGGAGTTTAGTGTTTATCACTTTGTTTGTAATGATTGGGTTATCCTTAAGAAAATTACATGTAGCATTCTTCTAAAAAATTCTCATTATATGAATTATCCACCCCAAGCTTTCTTGTGAAACTGGGTCTAACATTGTTCTCAGTTACGTGATCGGGTTAGGAATATTATAAAATTATCCAGGAACATCCCATCAAAGATAGGAAACAGTTTAGACTCATATACCTATTGGAGTACGCAGGGTGCAGTTTATCCTCATGAACCTATGGGAGGATTGAGGAGCAGTTTATACTCGTATAGTCTTTGGAGTCAGGGTAAACAGTTTATACTCATGTGTCCCGTTGGAGTATTGATTAGGCTTAATTTAGCAATATGACGCCAGCTTCAACCAAGGTTTGGATGCTATTTTTGAGAGTAAAGCAAGCATTGGTAGGGTGAAGGATCCTCCTTTGATACGCACAGTACTTTGGATCCAAAATATTATCATCCTCCTCCTGATCTATGATAGGTAGCAGCTTGATCTTGTTGTTTTCAAGGAGGAATTCAAAAATTACCAGAACGTCTTCGTCCTTAAAAGAGTACTCTTTTTGG